CAAACCGGGAGATCTTGGCGGCAGCGAAGAACGTGATCTCTCGTGCTCAATCTTATGCGACTCACAACGGGGGCCACCTGACTAAAGTGGTGCTCTACGCATGACAATACAAAATTTCAGTTCTTTCTCTTTCGTTTGAGGCATGATTCGCCTTAATCGGTGGCATAGCAAGGTCACACGACAAAAATAAAAAAGCTTCAAGACTTCTGGGACACCCTGTAGAAAAGGGCATGTGCGACACATGTTTTATGGGTCATTTTACTCATAGAATTCAATAGGCACACTCAATAAGTGATACGGACCACCTCTGGATGAATTTCAGGTCGAGGTCAGGTCAAGGTCAGGTCAAGTGAGGTCAAATTTTGAAGTTGGTTGTTAAGGCCTAAAAAGGTGTCTATCTGATGCAGTTTTTCACGGCGAATCGAATGGTGCTATTTTTGTTTCCGTACGAGGTCTAGAACTTCCAAAAAAGTCATTTTTCAAAAATTTTGTGTGTCGTGACGTCACAAAATTTTGAATAACTCCCACATTTTTGAACCGATTCTTCTAAAATTTGGTATGTAGGTGCACATAGACCACTTCTCTGACATATATTCCGGTTTTTTCGATAGACTCAAAACTTTGGATTTTATAATGATTTTCCCAAAAAAATCAGTTTTTTGAAAAAATTTAGGCCAAAATCCAAAATTTTCGAAAAACCGAGATAGCCATTTGATAGACAAAGTAAAATTACGTATAACCTTTTTTGTTACGTCTTGATTCCTTTAAAAATGAAGATGTTAGCGGCGTTTGAACTTTTGCCGTTTTTGAGGCGAAAATGGCGAACATGACGTCACTAAAACGTCAATTTCTCAAACATTTTCCGACGGATTTCGCTCAAATTTTCAGGGAACGTGTCAAATTGATGTTAGAAAAGGTACTGAAAGTTTGGCGGCGCTGCGCGCCGCCGTTTTTGAGATATCGCAAAAATTCGCGAGGGGGGGTAAAATTTACCCCCCCCCAGCCCCGCGCGGGTTAAAAAGTAAAAAAAAGTTCAAAATTGGGGTCCTGGAAGCAAAAATTTTCGAGAAAAAAATCGCGTTTTACATCTCATCACTTAAAATGCTATCACTTCTTTATTTTTTTACCGATTTTGATAAAAGTTCGGGAAACCCTTCTTCATTAACTGGGCCTTCATACATATTCCGGTATTTTGGATATTTCAAAAATCATAGGCGGATCCAGGTAAGCTAACTTGGGATGATGTTTCGAGTTTTTGTCATGGCATATCACGTGTCATATGACGTGATGTGTCATATATCATGTAAAATATGCAACGTGAGCACAAAATACACGTTTTCGTTAAGCATAGGCGGATTCAGGCACGCTAAGATGGGGGGGGGGCAGTGCGTTGATATTACCCCCCCCCCTTTCTCAGGCACTTGGATCCGCCTATTCCAATATTTTCAATGTAAAATGACGTCACATAGTCTTTAGGTGCATACATATGACGGGTTTATACTGGTCACCAGTATAAACCTAAGTTAGTCGCTGCTTGGCGGCAAATGTCGAAACAGTCAAATCTGGGCCAAAACTACCCCCGAGAAACTCGTCCTGGAGACGCCTCTGCGCAAGCTAGAAGCTCAAAAATTTAACACAATGTGCCCAGTGAGTAGCAAGGAAAAGTCACCAAATTTGGAGCCCGTAGCTTAAAGGTAGTGTGCCACCTTTAAAAGTTTTCCCATTTTATTTTTCCTAGGATAAGAAGCTTCTGTTTTTACCTAATATCGCAAAAAAAAATCAAAAATGGGCCTGGAATAGTGCCTTTTTCGCCTAAAAGTTTATCGGTTTTTCGATATGTATAACAACTGTAGTGGACTGAGCTGCAAACAGGCGTCGGCAACAATCGCGAATGCGGCGCACATGTGACAATAAGCAAAGGTCATTATAGAGTTACGACGCACGGGAATGAGTTATCAGCTGTCTAATCGTAGACAACACAATGTCGAGCCTTAAACTGTAAGCCTGTATTGGCATTGTTTCTTTTATTTGGCTGTCAAACATTATTTATGGTTTGAAATATGATTTTATGTAAAATAATTGATATGAAAAAGCCGTCTCTTAAGTTATGACCCCATTTCACCACACGCAAGTGGCAGAAATGACAATGATCAGCTGACGCATTTTTCTTGGCCGAAGTCAGAGCGCGCGGCCCGACGCACCACCACCGCACCACAAAGTATGAGCAGAAGCCGCGCCCAAAGCCAGGGCCCCGGTAACGTGAGGTAGCCGAGTCGGGGCAGCGTGCGCTGACCCAAGCCGGGGCCGCAGCTTTGGGCGCGGTCTACCGCATCCCCGCGGGCAGCCCCGGGCTATCACATGACACCGGGAGGACGCGCGGCCCCGGCTTGGGTCAGCGCACGCTGCCCCGACTCGGCTACCTCACGTTACCGGGGCCCTGGCTTTGGGCGCGGTCTACCGCACCACCTAACAGGCGTGTTCGAAACCGCAGGAGATGATGATGAACGGGTTTATCGAAACTTGATTGGATGAGCATATCGGTAATAGCGATTTCAGTGTGTGCATTTATTGTTCATAGTGGTGTGAAATGTGGTTGGGGTACGACCGACAACCCGTCGGGGCGAATTTCGCACTGGGGTACTCAAAATTTGAAGAATTTAAGACGTTTCCATGAGTTTTGAAGGCATGGATAAGTTCTAAAAATCCGGTTCTCCTTATCTGGGCCATTAACTCCATACGGTCCAGGAAAGCTGGCACACTACCTTTAACCCTATTCCTGGCGGGCTCCGCCGGGACAAGAAACTGGCGGGGGGGCCGATTCGGCCCCCCTTCAGATCTCAAAAACTACACATCGCAGCGACAAACGGTAAACGGCATCGGATACGCACGGTCAAGATCTACAATTTTTACTCAGGTCATTTTCAGGTCAGGTCAAAGATGACGTCACAGGGGTCGAAAAAGTCAAAATGGCGGCGCTAGATATGGAGAGTTTTTCTCGAATAACTTTCGAATTAGTCAAGATAGGAACAAACTAAGGGCATCATCGTGATCCTCTCGTCAATCCGCATCGAATGATATATATGTTGACCTCGAAAGGTCAAGGTCAAAGGTTGACCTCAGGTCACGTGACCTCGAGGTCATCATGTATATCATTCGATGCGTCTTGACGAGCTGAACACAATGAGACCCTCCACGCGTCTGTATCTTGTTCCTAACGGAGTTATTGGCCAAAAACCTTTGGTGACCTTTGATGACGTCACATGACCTCACAGCTGCCCAACAGCAAAACAGACCTCAAGGTAGTGAAGGTTCATCGTATATGAAGTCATGTATGGTATATGGGGCCATTCCGACCCGTTTTAGTGGTAAAAACAGGGAGTTGATTTTTCCCCCATTGACTTATAATGGGGAGGTCGCGAAAATGACCTGACCTTAGGTCACCGATATCAAAATTCCGAGATATACAAATTGCACATACTGGTACCCTAACTAAAGCCTGAAGAGAAGAAATTGATCGGTCAAAAACCCTAGCTCTGGCGTGATTGCAAACTTTTCTGAGGTAGGGTCACCAAACCGCCTCTGGTGACCTGACCTGAGGTCAGATCAACTCAAAATTTTCAGACATGTTGCGTAGAAGCCTTTTAGGAAAAGTCAGAAAATTTGAGCTTCCTAGCTCAACGCGTTTGGTAGAAATAACCAAAAAACCTCAGGGGGGCTCCTGAGGCCCCCCCCCGCCAGGAATAGGGTTAAGTCGTTTTCCATCGAGAGCAAAAAAAAAAACAGATGGGGGCCGATTCGCCCCCCCCCCCTCCCCCCCACCCCCCACCAGTAATAGGGCTAATGGTCGTGTAACCTACACAATTGAAGTGGAAATGTAAAATTGGCCATAAAACATGCATCACACGACCCTAGTATAGTTGGGTCCATAATGTGACCTTTGTGACCTGACCTCTTTGACCTGACCAGACATTAGTGATTTCCTTAACAGCATATGTACAGGGTGCGGAAAAGTTCTGTCATATGCATGCTAAGCTCGCCTACGCGCGCTGCGGTTGAGTTCTGGGCAGCGAATAGCCGCAGGCGTGCCCTTCGGTGACCTAGCCAACTGGCGGGAGGGCAGAAACTACCAGCCATTCACGGTCAGTCATGAATAGGCAGGCTAAACATCGCCTCGTCGCTGGGTGCCTGCGTGCGGCGGCCGAATCTGGCATGACCGATAAGCAGGTTGCGGCAAAATGTGGAGTCACCTGGCGGCGAACAGTCATGCGCATTAAAGCCAAAATACGAGCAGGGGAGACTGTCGATCCGATGGTTCGATTCAAGGCCGTATATTAGAAGGTAAACTCGTCAGGCGGTTTGTTTACATTTGCTCAGCTGACGAAATGACGTCAAAGGTCGTCCACCCTCACGGATCAGGCAGCCGCATGCAGTACAATATGCGGACGTTTTTTGGGAATTGAGACGACTTTAGCGATATTGAACGATTAAATTACGTTATACCAGCTTCTACAAACCTGCAAACCGGTTTATGCTAATGTGGTGCCATAAAAACCAGTGTGGAAGGTGTTTATATTGATGCATTATCGGCTGGAAAACTCACCATAACTTCGACCGTAGCCGACTGAGCCAACATTGACCTATGCTTGGTTATGGGTCAGCATAGTTGCCAGAATGTCATAATTTACGCGTATTTGAACAACAACTATAGCATTAGACGTACGATTACGAGGTTTTGCTCACAACAGTTAGGTATACCGAGCAGAGCATATACCCGGCCGGGGCACCAGCGCCGAAACTGAAGCGTGAACGGTGGCCTGCGACAGGAACGCATATGGCTGCCAGTGATACGGTATGTGGTGGCGCATCGGATGCAGCCCTGCCACTTTCGGTCCAGAACTGGCTGCCATTCGTTGGTCCCAGTCCAGCTGCCTCAATCGGTCCCGGTTTAGACGCCTTTGCCGGCCCCGGTTCAGACGTCTGTCTTTCCCGGTCCGGAAGTCTCAACTCAAACTTTATTGAACAATCTTATCGACATTATCTTGGTAGAAAACACAAAACAGTAAGACAGAACAAACGAGCAAACTCAAGCAGCACTTCAAAATGACGATAGGTACACACAAACATCAGCGTGTTTCAGCAGCATCCACGCGTCGCTCCGCGCTGTCTCACAGCACCCCACGGGGTCAAACCACTACGTGGGTTCGTAACACGCTGGCCACAAAACATGGGTTACCAGCGACCAACACAAAACTCTGAGAGCAGGGGTCCATCCAACCTAATTTACAAACACAGCAGCCCCGTCAATGGCCATTAGCGCCAACCCCGCCGGCGCGGCGGCAGCAGGAGCGACAGGCAGGGACAGCGCATGCAACTCGATCGCAAAACCATTCTTCTGGCATTGCTCTGCGTCTATAAAGGAGAATATCCCGCCCTCATCTACCCTTCAGGACCTGGCCGGGGACACTAACGAGACGCGGACATTACCCACTCAGCTGAGCAGTGAGCACCCTTTCGACCGGTCCGGGGCCCAGCTCTCGCCACATGACCGAGGGCTACTGTTAGGGTGCTGTCCTGTCCTGCTGTTCTTTTGCTGTCCTCCATCAGTCGGCTCCGAACCACCAGCCTCGCTGCCGCGCCGGGGTCCGGAGAAGAAGCTGCGCTGAGACGATCTGGAACCATCAGCCGGGCTGTGAGTCCCCACCGCCATGCGGTTGCTGGGACCGGGGCGGTGCAACCACACTCGCGTCCTGACTGCGCTTATGTGCTTCTCTCCTCGGAGCAGAGTCCGGCAGCGCAACCTGACTGACCTGAGCACGCCCCGCGCGAGAAGGCGTCTGGCGTGGCGCGCCGGCCTCGACCATCTGTCACACCGCCTCGGGATTCATGATCCAGATCCGATCGAATCGTCAGATTAAAATGTCTCTTGTATGGTAAACACAGATAAAAATCCCTCCTTCTTGAGTCGCAGAAGGCCAGGGAGGCTTGACAGTCTACGGAGGTCGACGACTGAGAAACGCTCCAGCAGCCGCAGTTGGTCAGCTGCTCAGCAACACTCTCCGCCAGCGAGACTGAAAACAAAAACCTTCCATGAAATGCAAATTAAGGATGACTGAAGGATGCATAATACCCAGTAAAACGAATAACTATTCAGTAAACAAAAAATGTCACTTCCTTGCTTGGAAAATTGTATTTTAGTCACTAAATGCCATGGCAAAGGAGCTGCCTAAATCGATGAATGTCAGCAACTCGCCAAACAACCTGTGTAAAACAGTTTGTTATTGTATGTGACTCAGTAGACACAACCTTTTGACCTTAGCCTGCACTAAATATGATAGCAAATTAGCCATGCTCCATTGTCATTTTCCCCTTTGAATTAGGTAATTGTTTTTGGGAGCTGCCACAACTGCACAGATAGGCACATTAACATTGCTCACACACACAGATTCACTTACTTGTGAGTTGCTGGGTGATGTGTCGTGCCTTGGTCACCAGTCACAGAATAACTGAAGCCTCCTGGAAAAGCGCTGTAGCTGTTGGCGACTGGCGTCACCACAGCTGGTCGGTGGGACACTGTAAACAAGATGTGACTTTAAACGCTGCTCCAGGTACTTTGGTCATGATCTGTCATAACATAGTTAACATTTCTTCTAATCAAACTAGGGCCTAGGGGAGTTGGAGTGATACTCCTCCATCATACCAATGCGCTAACAAGAATTGAAGAAAACACATGAGCCCTAAAACCAATAAAAAAACGAACACAAAACATACCTACTCATTCATAATGATTAATTACCTATTATTTTTTAATTTCAAAGGAATCCTGTTCACCTAAAAATATTCAGCAAACCACTCACCAATTGCCTGACACCATAGTGCACACAGAAGTTTGAGGCCTGTGTAGGCTGTGCAATATTATATGTGTAGATCAAGATGAAGTACAGTGAGACGTGAGTCAGTAGGTTTTAAGTTGTAGGTTGGTAGATTGTAGGCTTGAAATTGTAGGTTTTCGGTGAATAGGTTGTAAGTTTGTAGATTGTAGGTTGGCAGGTTGAAAGTTTTTGGTTAGTACCTAGGTAAGGTTAGGTCAGGTTAGATTTTTTATCTTCACTGTACTTCATCTTCACATTTACCGGCTGTGCAGACTGCAGGCCTGTTGGACCGGATCTTTGTAATGCAAAGCACTCGCTCATTCTAAAAGTACTGGTTGTCAAAGACAGAAGAGAAGCGGATGGCTCCCCTGTGGATGTCCAGATACTTACCTATCAATTATGGCAGCTTACATGAGTTACAGAAGCAATTGCAGCTTCCTTTGTCCGTCTAGGCTTTAGACAATTGACCACACTTAAAACAAAAAAACATGCAATTTTGTTTGGTATTGGAATACATACCAATATTTCTACATTTACAAAAGTATATGATAATTCTTATTAACAAGTACTTCTGGTAATAATCAGAAAAAAAAACTCAGAAATGCCAGACAGAAAAGTAGTAAATAACAATTAACAATTGATATCAATTAAAATACACAAATTTGCAAGCAGAAGATTGTAACACGCGCGCAATAAATGTAAAAAATAGCTAAATTTCTGCTTCAATTCCTTAAACCACTGTCATAAATCGTAATTCCCAACTAATTCACTGCTACGCTAGAACTCAAAGACTACAAGTTTTTAGGTATTGTAACCTTAACAACATGTAGAAAATGTCTTATTAAACCATTTGAGACCAAAAACGTTCCACTTCATCCCGTTTTAGTTGAGAAAACAGCAAAGAAAGTGGACGACCTTTGACGTCATTTACCTTCTGATTGGCCCAAAAAGCCTTCCCTATGGCGCAACATAGAAACGATGACCCCCTGGTTCGATTCAACCCGGTGAATAAACATCCACACAAGGTGATTGTGCTCGGCGTGGTGGGTTCGGACGGCAAGAAGTGCCCGATGATCTTCATTGACGCCAATGAGAAGGTGAAGAGGGCGGTGTACGAACGTCTGCTGGACAATGACGTCATCCCATGGATCCTGGAGACCTATCCAGATGGCAATTTGTGTTCCAGCAGGACGGAGCGCCTGCGCACACCGCAAGTTCCATCCAGCAGAAGCTGACGGAAGAGCTCGGAGGGAGGCCCTCATCTCATGGGCCCTAAATAACCACACTAAGATCTCTATAAGGGCCCACGCCGGCTTCTGAGGGCTTTTTGTAGACTTTAAGGGGCCCTCGGTGGTCTCCAAAGGCCCGTTACTGGCCTCTGATAGTTCTTACCTTTTTCTGAGGGCCCCATAACGGCAACTGTGGGGGCCCTCATCGGCGCCTATGAGGGCCCACACCGGTGCCTCTGAGCGTTTTACACCCCCAACTCTGAGTGTCTACACCAGTGCCTATTAAAGCCCTATATCGGCGGCTCTGAGGACCCAACAGTCAACACCTGCGCATCTAAAGGTCACCCACTGGTGACTTTTGAGGGCCCGGCACACCGGTGACTGTGAGCCCTGAGGGCCCCACCGGCGTCTGACAGTACCATGCCGGTCTCAAAGGACCCCACAAGACTTCTTCTGCCGGCCTAAGGGCCCCTTGCCGGTCACTGAGAACCCCCTGCCGGCTTGTAGAGGGTTCGCGTCAGCAGCTCCAAAGGCCCCACACCTGTCTGTAACGGCTCCACACCAGCGTCTATAAGGCCCCCAGCAACGCCTGTAAGGACCCTCACCGGCGCCTCTGAGAGAATCACACTAGCACCTCTGAGCGCCCACACCGGCACCTGCATGGCGGCCCTGACACCAGTGCCTCTGAAGGTCCCTTACCGGCGGCTCTGAGGGGCCTATGCCGGTGATTCTGAGGGTGCTATCGATAACCGAAGGCACCACACAAGCCCTTATGTGTCGCTGAGCTTTAATCCCATACCGGCCTTCCTCTACGTCAGGGCGCTACGTCTCTACGAGGGCGCTACGTTAGTGCACTCATTGTCCCACATCCCTCCCTCACACCCGGAGCGGGTAAACTGTGTTATACCTATAGCAACGATTTTACCACCGTTGTACGGTTCTCCAGGGTATTAGTCGTTGGTCGCTCGGCGAGCGGGAGGGCAACCAGTTCCGCCCCTGTATCGCGTGACCCCTTGCTCCGCCCAGTTACGCACGAGCGTACTCCACGCCGCGTAGTAGCGTGGGGAGGGGAGGGTTAGAATGGTGGCATGTGTAGAGGCTAGAACCGGTTTCCACCGCCATGCCACCGCCCAGCGACATGGAGCGGGGTCAGTGACCAGGGCGCAGGGAAAGGTCAGAGGTCAGCTTTAACGTAGAGCTTTGTGTCTCCCTCCCCTCCGTGTGTAACGACCGCACGACAGCGGCCGGCCGCCGATCAGGCTCGACATGTCAAGGTCACCCGCAGTCAACGGGCTCAGAGCGTTGGTCGAGTGCGAGTCCGTGGCTGACGACAGTCTCGACCATGTGCTATGGTGCCGATACACTAGCGTGGGTAATAAGTTTGTGTTCAGTGCATATGACTGCTGGGGAGTGTCCTCTTGATATGATGCTTTGTAACGTGTATGATACGCTTAAAACCTCGCTGGCAGTGGCCGAGAGGAGAGGGGGAGGTGGTTGCCGCCTCCACATGTTTATTTTTGTTGATAGCTGCGAGAGCTGAAATTTGGCAAGCCTGACCTTTGATTCAAGCTGAATTTTTATGACAGCAGCTGTATTTTCACCCTCGCCCATATTGGTGTTTTGCCAGCGTCTATCGTAAAGAGGGGGAGGAGGGTCCGTTGGACCCCTTTGCCGTTCAGCCCCTGATCGAGCTAGAGCTTCGCGGAAAAAGAGCGTGTTGCCCGTGACGAGAGGAGGCCGATGATACCCAATTTTAACCCTCGCCGGCACAGGGTTAATACATTAGGGTGGGTTTCAAGGTCAGCTGAAGGTCAGGTCAGGTCATTGACCTTTGGTGACCTCGGGTGACCTCGGTTCACTTTTTCGAGTTTTACATGCTTCTGGGCTAGTTTTTGGAGCTGAATTCGAATTTAGCAACCATTTGGACATTTACGAAGTAGTTTTGGTGCCTTCGTAACATGTTACGAAGCTGTCAGAGGCGGTTGACACGTATTACGAATACCCGTCACAACCCCTACCGGTTGACCTGACCTGACCTGACCCGACCTGGTCTAAATGCTTAAAGACATCATCTCTAATCAAAACTAATACGATATTCGTGATCAGCACCCTGGAAAACCACATAGCAGCCACACTTTACGACTTTCTAACAGGTCCCGATTTTCCCGGTTTTCGGGTCATTGACCTGACCTGGAAGGTCACCCGATGACCTAGGACCTTAAAATTGTGTATCATCGGCTTCCTCTCGTGACGGGCAACACGCTCGTTTTTTTCCGCGAAGCTCTAGCTCGATCAGGGGCCAAACGCGAGGGGGGGTCGTACCAACCCCCCTTGTGCCGTCGAAGGACGCAAAATGGCCTGTGCCGGCGAGGGTTAAGGTCCTAGGACCTTAACTGTCAACCAGTTGACAGGTCAATATAACTCAAAAGTCGGGGAATCGGGACCTGTTAGAGCTTCGTAAAGTGAAGCTGTTATAGGGTTTTGCGGGGTGCTGATCACGAAATTCAAGTTAGTTTTGATCACAGATGATGTTTTCGTGCATTTAGGCCAGGTCGGGTCAGGTCAGGTTAGGTCACATGTTACGAGTGAACCAAAACTACTTCTTAAATGTTCAAACGGTTTCTAAATGCGAAATCAACTCCAAAATCTACCCTAGAAACATGTAGAACTCGAAAGAGTGAACAAAGGCCATCAAAGGTCAGTGACCTGACTGATCTTCACGTGACTTTGATACCCACTAGAATCCATGCGATCAACATCCTTTCACATGTTTGATCGCTTAAAGCCACAAAAAGACAATAAAACGCGTTCTACTCGAAATACGCCAAAACGTGATTCCGGCCAAACATGGTCTCGGAAAACAGGTCACAAGTCAAAGGTCTTTTGAGTCAGGGTCATGCAAATTATAGGGTAGGCGTAATATTGAATAACTCGAGGGTACTGAAAGGTTCGCCGCAATCAGCCGCTTTTTGCGCGAGTTATTTGCGAAAAACTGAGGGTAGGAGGTCTGTTCGACACCCTCCTACAAGTGCGAAGGTTAAGGTCAGGCCGTTGACCAATGGCGTCAAAAGTGAACCCCTGTAAGGCCCCAAAATGTCGCGACGTCGCAGCACCCTTCGTGCCAGGGGACTTTTCAACGGGGAATGAAGCTTATATGATCACTATCTCCCAGAGGCCTCACAACTTGTATGTAGCTATCTCGTATTTTTCTTAAAGGGACCCTCCCACCTTCAAAAAAGTTAATGAATTGGCATGAAAGTGATGTCGCTCGGTTCAGAAAGAGCAAAAACGAATATCTACCAAATTTCATCGAAAAATATTCACCGGTTTTCAAGATATTAGACTTTTACTTTTGTTTACTTTTTGGGATCTCCGCTGTTCCTAGCGACTTTATTTGAAAGTGCGGCATTTGTTGCGCGCAAAGCAGCATATACCACCGCGTGCTACCAAACGTTTTAGTAAAAGATTTAAAATCGTTAGATCTCCGCTGACGTCACAAATTCTAAGGGGGCATACCAATGCATTAGCCCCTTAGAATCCGAAAACTGCAAGTTTGAAATTCGATATCTCCGAATTAAAGCATTTTTCGATGTTGTGAGTGCCCAAACCGGTATTTTCAGGCCATGGCCACCAATTTGGCTATCTCAACTCAAATCTAATGTTAAGGTGGGAGGGTCCCTTTAACCCGCGCACCGACGGGGGTCTGCGCCAACTTTGCACCGACGGGGGGGCGGATGACCGCCCCCCCCCCCTGAGATCTCGAGAACGAAGCAAGATAGCGATAAGCGGTAAACGGCATCGGATACGCACGGTCAAGATCTACAATTTTTATAAAGGTCATTTTCAGGTCAGGTCAAAGATGACGTCACAGGGGTCGAAAAAGTCAAAATGGCGGCGCTAGATATGGAGAGAGTTTTTCTCGATTAACTTTCGAATTAGTCAAGATAGGAACAAACTAAGGGCATCATCGTGATCCTCTCGTCAATTCGCATCGAATGATATATATGTTGACCTCGAAAGGTCAAGGTCAACGGTTGACCTCAGGTCACGTGACCTCGAGGTCATCATGTATATCATTCGATGCGTCTTGACGAGCTGAACGCAATGAGACCATCCACGCGGCTGTATCTTGTTCCTGTA